CCATTAACTAGAATTCACCATTAACTAGAACCATTAACTAGAATAACCAAGCAGATTTTGGTTGCCAATAATTAAGAAGCAATTCTAATGATTGAAATTATCCTTTTCAGGAATTAAGCAGATTCCCCAAGTTGACATTCCTAGTGGGTGGTGGAGCTAAGACAGAAGCCCCCCTTTCTGGGTTCACAGGCTAGAACCTTGGCTATGCCTTGATATTACACAGGGTTTCCACTTTGGGAGGAGCTTATAGAAAGATAATCTCAATTTCCTTGCAACTCTAAAGTTGTATTTCCCTTCTAAGCCTCCAGCTATGAATTCCTCCTTCTGGGTTCTCAGTATTTTCCTGTGTGAATTGGAAGACTGGAATAGAGTACCTCTGAGGGTCAGCAGGTGATTTCCTTAACATCCCCCTTAAAATTATTTTAGTTCTTAATACATATTAATTTTATATAATTTGGCACTATTAATCAAAAACAAAAACTGTGGCTAGATATAAGAGCATGAGAGTGTGGAATTCAGATTCTTAAATGTGGGTTTAGGCAGTATTTTTAGTCTTTACTTGAAGCACATGTTTTAAAGATGTGGTTTCATGGTTTAAAACATGAAAGCAAAAAATCAAAGAAGAAATTGTGTAGACTTCATGAGCCATTAGATTTCACAATAGTCACTGGGAGAAAGTAGCAGGAGTTTCTTGCACTTCAAGTTCATTTTTTCCTCATTGTTCTCCCAACAGGGCAGGAAAGGATGGGGACCTAAATATGCAGTCAGAGGGCAGCAGTGCTGAACTTTCTCAGACACAGCTAAGTAACCTGGATCTGGCCAGTCACAGGACTCAGAAGCCCAGAGCTGAGAGCTGACAGGGAAGAACTCTCTATAAACACAAGAAAGGGGCATGGCAGGAAGGCAGAGGCCTGGGAAAGAAATCAGAGGCAAGAGAAGTGTTACTTTTATCAGGTGTGAAATTGAAACCTCTTTGGCTCCACACCACTCTCCTTTCCACCCTATACATTGGAGCTACTAATTTAATGAGCAAAACCCATAGTAACCTGCTAGGACTGTGCATCCAGAACACAATGTTCATGGTTTATGCCACTGTTAACATTTTATAAGGTGGTTTGAGGGTGGGTGGAGGTAGGGAGTATTTATATGAGGCTAAAAATATAGCTTTAGGCTTTTCCTCCTTTCTTTTTGAACTCCTAATTCCTTATACTATATCACTGGTTTTCATACTTTTTTATATTTCAGCTGCCAGCACAAAATACATTTCACTTCTTTACTCACTATGAACAAATATGCACACAAATACATGTCTGACACAGCCATGTACACATGCAAGTGCAAAATAAGTGTTTCAGAACATGAGATGCCCTTTCATGTTTTCTACCTAATCTATTTAGGTGTCATTAATGTCACAGACCAAAACTCATTACATGGCCTATCATGCTGTTCAGCCCATAATTTCAGAAATACTATGCTGTGAACACCAGTCTTAGCATGACTACAAAAGTAGCATGTTTGTATCCAAAACCCCTTAAATCTGAGTTCCTTCTCAACTGGGAAAATTGTGTCCTTCTGAGGAAATGTGACAGTGTCTGGAGACATTTTTGTTCATCACAAGCAGTATGGGGGCCGTAGCAGGAGGGTAGGGATGTGGCTACGCACTCTGATGACAGGCAGCCCCGCGGGGCAGTGAGTTAGTCTGAAACATCGGCAGTGCCAAGGTGAGAAAACCCTGCTCAAAGCAGTAAAATAAGTTAATACTTCTAATCTACTATAAATCGATTTAGAATGACAGAAGCTTTAACCTGATCTACCTTTTCTCTTTTTCTCTTTGAACTGTATTTTCTGTGTTAAAATGAAGTTAGGCTTGTGTACAGAGGCACAGCCAGTGGCTAAATAGGTTACAAGGAATGAGTGTCATAGTTCATTTAAATTACACCAAGCATTTTTTTTAAGATTTATTTATTTATACATACAAGGACTGGGGTACAGGCCAGAAGTGTGGGGGGTGAGAGGATTCACCAGCGACAGAGTGGGAAGCAGAACAGGCAGACTGAAATACACTACTGAGGGGAGCAGTGGGCGAGACAGGAGAGGTCTGCTGTACCATGTGGGTCGTGACCTCCCTGGCCGTGGATTGAACTCATGCTGCAGTGGCTGTGGACAGCTTCATAGTGCTGCATCCCAACCCCTTGCACCATCAGGGAGGCCCACACCAGACTTTTTTTTTTTTTTTGGTGGGACCCTCGCTGGCAGCTGGCGAACAAACTGGCGCTGCAGAGTCTGCGGGCAGCCTCACAGCCCAGCACTCAACCGCTGCACCAAGGGAGGCCCTCACACCAGACATTTTTTTATTAGAATATTGTAATTACTCTTATGACTATTTTCTAGGTTATAATTTCACTTTTCTGCTCCCTGTATACTACCCAATAAGCTTTGCTTTTCAGGTTCCTTCCTCACTCAGCCATAGCTGCTCTCTTAGAAAAGAAGGGAATATCACTAATTAGATTAGCCAAGGTCCCTAAAGCTTCTCTCCTTTACTCATGAGATTTGATTCTCTTGTTTTGATGGGAAATGACCTTCTGCTCGTGTTGGCGTGCCACCCTAAGCCCTAGTATTAAAATGTCTCCTTTTTAGCCACTACTTCACTCCTCCATCTGTAGCTATTTCAGACCAGGTTCCTTTGAACATGGACTGGACATGCACTCCTGGTGTAACGGAGAGCCCTGATCTCCACCTCTTCCCTCCACCCTTGTCTTGCATCAGAGAAACTCTTGAATGTCTTGGTGTCTGCCTGTTGTTGCTTTTTTCCTCTTTTATTGGCTATTTCTGGGCCCCCTGCATCTAGGCTCCCATGTGCTCTGAATCATTCAGAGAGTCTGACAGAACAGACCTGGCTTAGCTTTTTCTCATGTTTTCTTTGAGAAACAGTGAGGATGACAGAAGATACCACTGATTTCAAATATCAAAACTAGAAATAGTAGTAGAAAATAAAACCAATGCTATTTGAGATAGTTCTTTGCCATATTTATTTTAGCATATTTACCTCATGTATCTTGGATTACATAAACAATAGCATTTGTATTTAGTAAATTACTACTTAAAAATAATTTGTAGTAAATAGCCAAATGGCTATGTGTGTACATCGACCTTGAAACCTTAGATTTCTGTTAGCATAATACTGAATATTACTACCAACAGATTCCAGAACGAATGCTGGAAAAGCTCCGGTGAGACATTGGACTTCAGACACATAAATTCCATTCCATCTCCTCAGGAGAGCTATTGGGACAGAGATCTCCTTCCCACTCCTAGGTTAAGAATAAAAAGACAACATGTAGATGAAGGGAACTCAGGAGGAGTCATCTCTCTGCTTTCCCTGTTCTAACTCAGTTTCACAATCCCAGGCAGGACTCAGATAAAGCAGTGGTGTTATGGGTGGGGCACCCGCTAGAGAAGAGTGATAGAATAAAAGGGAAAGACAATTGTGGATGGAAAAGAGATCACTGGATGATGACACCCCACCCCCACCCCTGCTTTCTCCCTTGCTATGGGTTGGGGCTGCCCTTTGTAGTAGGAAGGGCAAGTTATATGAGATCCTGCAGCTGGGCATTAAACTAAAGGCATAGTGTGTGATTATAGAGTGTCCTACCCAAGAGATGAGTCTAGGCCTCCCAGATAGCTTTGTGTTGTGACAGGAGCAGGACCATTTGGGTGGTAGAAAGTGGTGATGGTTCTCTTGGTTTAGGGTTTATCCATTGTTTGCTTCCAGACTAGGAAATTCAGTCTGGAACATCACACCTCAGAAACTCTATGAATAAAACAAACTTACTGCCCTTAGTTTCTCCACAGTCTGCTAGAAAGTGAGAGCAGGCTGATCCCAAATGTCTAGAGAAAACCTCTTCTTTTGCAAAGGAGGAGGAATAGGAAGAACCTGGGCAAAAGGAATATCCTGAAGAGAGTGAGTGTTTAAATCTGTATGGTACAAGTGGGTATAGTTTGTGTATTTTACCTTCAGGCTGTGAAAAAGAAGGTAAACTGAAACCCTGCAGCACCTTGCAAGTGAAAGCCACTTCATAAATTATATTTATCTCTTTAGACATGAAGTTTCTTTTATTTCTGCCAGTTTGCACAAGTCCTTTTACTTCCTGGCTCTGACTCTTCTAGGGCCTTCTGGTGATTAATTCTGTGCCTCAGTGTTTGCAGTGCTTGATAGTGCCTTTGTTTTGTCATCAGTTGATACTTTACTTGGACATTTGAGTCCTCTTTAGTAAGCAGTCCCTTGGTCAGTTCTGCTTAGTTCCTACAATTTTGACTTATTGACTGATCGTCACCATGAAGGGCTTATTTTTACTCATTCATACCTCGATCCCTTTTCCCAACATTCCCATTTAGAGTTTGATTAACTGTATTCCTACAGATTATATAGCTTTATAAATTCATTTTTTGCCACATGCTAAGATTTGTTTTGCACCAAGCTTATCTGCATGAGATGCTGAGTGGCCAGAGCAGAAAATAAAGAGAACAGCCTTGCCATAATGCACTCGAGCTCCCAGTCCACCCAGTGAATTAACATGAATTCAAAACACTATGTGAATTCAAACTCACATAGTATAAGAAATGCCCAGAAGATGACAGAGGAACCCAGATTTGTTGTTGGATATTATGCTTCGTCTGGCAGGGGTTGGATGGATGCTGAAGTACCTTTGAAGAGTTGAATTATAGGCATTTCGGATCCCAGAGGACAAAAATAAGAGCAAATGACTCTTAGGCATATGTGAATGAGAAACTGGTAGACATAATTCTAGATAAAGGTTTCTTATCTAGGATTCTTCTGGCTCCTTGGAAGATTTAAAGATTTTTATTTTTCAGGTCTTTGCTTCTCTCCTTCAAACTGCTTAGATGAGACTCTAGTTTATGTCATTTACCATAGCAGAAGTCACACAAGCACATGACTTGAGGTGAAAAAGGAACTTGAGTTAAGAGAAGGTAGGTCACTTGATTCCCTGCAGAAAACCTGATCAGGTCATCACATCCACCTCCCTTTGATGACCGTGTTCTATAAACAAGAACAGGAATTCTTGCTACTGGATCCCTTTCACCAGGCATCTTAGGCTCGCTGAATGAAAAGCCCTATAAAAAGGAGATGCATCCCTAATAATAACAAATACGATCGTGGTGATATTTTGGGCAAAGTGGGATTTGTGCCTCTCTTGATCTCCATTGATGTCTGCCATTCTTGTCCTGCCACTACCTTTCAGACTTCCTATTCTTAGAATTATTTGTGAGCACTGGACTTGGGGGATTGCAGCCCCCAAGGCTGGAATGCCTAACTTGAGTGGAATGCAGACTGTCTGGCAGAGTGGAGGTTAAATAAAGTTTGCCTTGGCAGTTCCCTCTGTTCTTGGATAGGCGACAAATAACTCGGGTATAGGAGCAATGGCATGAGCTACGGTGCTGAACCAAATAGTCATCCAGGGAAGATTAGTGGTGCTTCATTCTAGTCATAGCCATGCTAGTCTCAACCATGGTATATTAAACATGGAATTACATGCCTGAAATGTGCACATACATACATACATACGGAGACCTCAACAGTCTTGACTCTCAGCTAGTGTCATATGGTTCTAGAAAATGCAGGTACAAGTAAAAGGTAAGTTTGAAACACCCTGCAGGAACTGCAGATTTGTGTATCTGCCCCCTCAGAATTGACTTATTTTTGAAAATAAGACAAAGGGACAGATTTTCACTGTAATATGAACAATTATCAGGCAACCAACAAATGTACCAAGACACTGGGAAATTTTTTTAAGTATGTCATATACTTCTTGTTGTGCTTAAGATTTAGTTGGACAGGTAAAGCTATAAAAATATGAGAAAATAATTCATATCCCAAAGTAGAATATTAGTCCTAAACCTCTGCTATACAAATACAACCAAGTGCCCAAAGGAGGTCTAGCTGGAAAGATCTAGAAGGATTTCAGGGAGGCTTAACACAGGTCTTAACTGAAGACAGATTTCTGGAGAGAAGAGGCCCTTGTCAGTGAGAGGACTAGTATGAACGGAAGGCAGATGAGGCAATCCTCAAGACGGGTCATGGAAACTTGATGATCAGCTGGATATGGACAAAGGAAAGGAATTTTTGTAAAATCTCCAAATGTTCACATAAAGGTGCAGCATTGACCAGAGACAGTTCTCTTTAAGGTTCTATCCATAAAACCCTTAAGATGATATGATGTGGCTCCTAGTGGACACTCAGTAAGTAACAACATCACTATTATTAACTAAATCTTCAAATTCTGTGAGCCCAGCTATTTGAGTTCACTTTACAAGAGTTGGTGCTAACTCTGCTTTGTGTTGTTCTGGTTGCTCACATGATTCCCACCTTGGTCCACCCTTTCCTTCAGGTTTATCTGACCTGTCTTCTGTCTTTGCACCATAGGTGGCTAGAGGTGCAAGTAGCTAATTTAACATGTCCACAGCACTGGGTGCAATACCTCCGACTTCTTCGGGAATCAATCTGGCCTGGTGGAGCTTTGCTTAAGTATCCTCGATCTGTAAGGACCAAGGAGCAGAAGATGGCTGCTAAGAAACAGGCGCTGCAGAGCTTGATGAGCATCCTGCCAGGTACTGGATGATGAGGTTGATTTTACAGATAAGTATTCCTTTGCTCTCCTGCTCTGCCGAGAATACCCCAAACCCTTCCCCATTTTTAAAAGGGTTTTAAATGTGGTAAGACTCAAAACACTGTTGCCCCACAAGGATAACAGGAAAATGGTGAGGGCTGGGGTTCTTTTACCTTTCACCCAAGTGATACTGAGGGAATGTAAAATGGACCACACCTAAGAGTCGGTGAGAATCATGGGTATTTACCTTGGGGCAGGCGAGGGACGCTCTCCTTCACCACGGCGGCAGGTCTGAGTCACTTCCAGCAGATGAAGACTCTGGTTTTCTGTCAGGTCACTGCACAGTGACCAGGGGGAATGACCTGTCCTGCAAAAGCTTACAGCTAATTAATTGGAACCACTGAATAAAGTACGTGGTCTTCAGCAGTAGATAAAAACTCTGAAGAGGGCTTTTTTCCTTCACTTTGTATATTTTTAGAAAGTAAGGAAGGCAATTAACTCTGGTAACCAGGATTCAGTAATGAACTCTTTTTTTATTAGCTTTTTTTTTTTTTTTAAGATTTATGCATACAAGAGCTGAGGTATAGGCCAAAGGTGTGGGGACGGTGAGAGGATACACCAGAGACAGAGTGGGGAACAGAACAGGCAGACTGACTGAAATACACTGCTGAGGGGAGCAGCAGGTGAGTCAGGAGAGGTCTACTGTGCCATGTGGGTAGCTTCCTGGCCATCCGGGGAGCAGGATCGAACTCATGCTGCAGAGGCTGCGGGTTGCTTCATAGTGCTATGCTTATTAACCCCTTGTACCACCAGGGAGGCCCTCAGTAATGAACTCTTATTAGCTTTGGACATTTTTATTTACTCTTACTAAGCTCTCATCTCCAGTCTAAACTGTTATATCAGAGAAGTGATAGGTCACAGTTAAGTGATAGGTCACATAATTATTGTTTGAGGCCTATTCTTATTTAGAAAACTAACAACATTTTTCTCAGCTTTTCCCTGTTTTCTGAGGATTTTAGTTTGGTTATGTGTTCTGAGGTATGCCACAAATACCCAGTTTCTAAAAGGAGATAGTCTAGAATCTAAGGCTTTAGTGGAAACACTAAATATTGTGTGTTTTTCCCTCTTCAGATATCGTAGTGGAAATCCTTGGGGTGAACAAATGCCAGCTGAGCTGGAGTCTGGTCTTGGAGTCAGTGCAGCAACCCCTCATCAACAGGTAGGCGGAGAAACACTGCCCAGCATAGCCGAAGCTATGTCTGGCCTCAGAGTTGTCTAAGGCTTCCAAGTGATCAGTCCACACTGAGAAGACTGGAGCTGCAGTCTTGCCTTGCCCTGCACCCTGACTCCCCATGTGATGTCCAGGTCCACACACACTAAGCAGACCCATGCTGCCAACTCCTGGACAGGGTGCCATGTCGTGAGTTGGTGTTGGCCCATCCACTGTTGGCATTTGGAAGAACGTAATGCTACTGAAAATGCCCTGTCACTGACCCAGGCTTATCCAGCGTGCTTCATGGGTCCTTTCGACATCTGCCAGCCACTGTCTACACTGCGAGAATATCCCCTGACCTGTGCATTACAATCTGAATCCAATTACAAGCCAAATAATGACTCAGTTTTAGTTATGGCCTCGCGGGAAAGCTGTGATTAGTGTCAGGATTAGTTTGGACTTTACCTGAGTTTGTACTCTGATAAAGGAATGCGACGGGCTGGGAGAGCACATCTAGAATAATTCAGAAAAGGTCAGTATGTCTCTGACTGATAGCTTGGGATAGAATGCTGGAAAGTATTGAGTGCTTCCACGCCTCTCAAACCCTGTCGCAGAGCAGACAGTCTCTGTTAACTCTCGCTCCTAAAGGGTCCGGGCTTTTGCCTCACTGCCTATACATAACGTTTAACTCGGTAGTGATTCACTTTGAGAAACAGCAGTAATTAGGAGGTCTGAAATTTTTAGTATGTTAATATCACATGGATTTCTCCTCCCTCACAGTTCTTCAGTGCAGTACTGGTGACTAATACAGCTATATCAATATGAATTCCCCCAAAATCTAGTCTCAAGTACATTTCTACCTTTATTGGGCCATAGCCCTTATTAGTTCAGTAGACTTGTATTTCATGGCAGTAGCTTCATCAAGCTGTTGAAGTTTGAAGTCCAGTGAGAATCAGTAATAGCTGAGAAGGGGGAAGGAAAATACATTCATCAAAAAGATCTGGCGTCTTGACTGAGCCAGACCCTACACTAAGTTGTTTTGTCCATTTGTTTCAGACATTTGATTTACTGCCTTTGGGACATCCTCCTGGAATTCTTGGATCTCAGTGCCTCTGTTAAGGAGTCTCCTATAACCACCTCTGCCTCAGCAGCCCCCAGCAACTCCAGGAGCACGAGTGTCTCCCCTTAGACTGGAGATCATTCCCATTCTTTGAAGACTGGAAAAGGAGAGTTTCTGTGCCACCCGAAGACGAGTCAGGAAGCCTGTGCCTCGGGAACCCGGCTGTAGCTCAGAAGGCCTGGGTCCCAGCGCACCGCTCTCCCCCGAGCTGTACTCCGTCAGCAAGTGACAGGGGAACATACGTACCAATTGCATGAACACCCATTTCCATAGCTTTCTGTGGTGACTGGAGCATAGCTTGTGGGTAGGTCCTGTTTCCTTTGGAAAAGGAAGCTGTGAGGTAGAGGAATGAGCCCCTTTTGCCTCGACTTTCACATTCCTCCCTAAGATTTTGTGCCAGTCACCTGGCCCTGTGTGTCTATGCACTTACTCTACCAACACAAGCTTTGGAGAGACCAGGAAAAAAGCTATCGCCAGATTTCCTTGAAGGAAAATACAGTCTTCTGCACTGTCTGTTCCTACCATGAAGCTGAAAATTCAAGACCACTCTTGAAAGCCAGACCCCAGGATCCTGTCTAGTTTAACAACAATTCCAGAAGAGAGAAGGAAAACTTCTCAAGGGACTCCTTGCTCATTGGCTATTTTCCAACACATCAACCCTGTGGAGGATGTCTCTGAAAACTGCTTCCCTAAGTGGCTACATTTTTCCCTGAAAACTTCAAAGCCTACAGCCAACACTTCTAGTAGAGCCACTCCACCCTCCACACCCTTTCCTGAAACAGTTGCATCACAGATTTTATTTATTAGCTTTCCTCCCTGCCCCCTCACCATGAGCAGTTGAGTGGCCCTGGTGACCTCTCTGTCTTCAACAAAATTGCCTGGCAAGTTGCATACTTAGCCCACAGTTCCCCGAGGACTCACTCCACGCTGAGAATGCCCAGCGAGTAGGAAACGCAGTGGGAGGGCAGATTTCTCTCCACAAGTCTGTGCCAGGGAACTTTTACTCTGAAGTAATAGAAGACTTGCAGGGAATTGATAATCCATAAAAAACTTCATTTCCTGTTCCTTAAGGATCTAATTAGTCTTTAAGAACACCACTGATGAAGGCAAAGGTGTTCTGTCAGGCTGCAGGGCCCGTTAGAAAGATGGAACAATTAGGAGACGCACTGTTAGAAAAGGAGACAATCCCAGGGCAGTGATGCCCCAGGGCATGTGAGCAGCCTGCCGAGGTTTACAGGGAGCAAGGCTTCTGCTCACCCCTTGGCCCTTTTGCTTTGTATCTGCTGTTAGTGCCCTGCTTTCAGTGAATTATGGATCCTCCCATGTGGAGAAGAGGCTTAGGGTTGGACCAATAAGGATGGGGGCAGGTCTAGAACAAATGTCAAGGTTCTCTTAGACTCTGAAGTTGATTCACACACAATTAAAGTGGTTTATGGAAAAAGTTGTGAACTATTTTTACCCCTTCACCCCACAGCATTTAAGCATAAGTTGTGTGCTGATGTAATCAAAAGGCTTTAGGTGTGCTATTAGATACCTCATGACATCTTTTAGCCTTAAAATTTGATTGTTTCAGTGACTTGATGGCTACAAAGTTCTCAAAGCACCTCCCACACTAGGCACTCAAGCTGCTCATCATCTCTGCCTTTGCTAAGTATTTGCAGGATTGCGAGTCTGTCCTCACTTAGTGGCGCCAATCCTTGACCTCCTCGGGCTAGAGTCACGATGCTGTTTGGGAGAGGCACAGGTGGCCAGCCCTGTCTTCTGCTACCCTTCTCGCCCGTGTTGTGCCCTGTCCTAAGTGTATGCACGCAGCCATCTGTATTGTTTTGAATATGCTGCTAGTTCTGGCTCATGTGACACAAAACCAGGACATAAGCTGACACCATAAAATTCCAGTGGCTATTCTAAGGTATCTTTTGGCACTTCCAGCCCAAAGAAAACTTCCTCTTATTTCATGTTACGTAAGAGATCCCACTTCTACTCTCTCTGCCCCAAAGAGATAAGCTGTCTTCAGGCCCTCCTTCTGCCCAGAAGGGAAATGCTAGATATCACCATGGAAATAACTAGAACCCATCTGGCTTTGCGAGGACCTGCCAAGTTTGAGTAGCAGGTTCAGGCAACAAGGGAGATGGCATTTGGGAGAGAGCCACAGATATCAGGAAAACATGCTCCCAGCTGAGAGCGTGGTGAGAGGCCAGGAAGAACAGGGCTGGCCTGACACAGAGCATCCTTGATTTTTCCTTTACCTCCTTGGTCCTTACATTTTCCACCAGCCCTCAGGCTTTTACAGCAGCCAATACCAGTTGTTAGGTCGCAGGGGAAATGAAAATATGTGTAAATATCCCTGAGTATATGAATTAGGATGATTTGAACTGCAATGTAACTACATTTCTTCTATGAAATGAGCACAAGTAGGTGAGTCCCAGAGGTGCTGGGATCTGGCAGTGCCAACCCCATGAGTGGTACCAGTTCCTCCCCTCTTACTGCTCCACCCTTGTCCACGTTCTGTCATGCCTCAGGCCACCTCCCTCCGTGGTCGCTGCAGTTTGGACCATCACCTTTATGCCCAGCAATATCTGTGAAAAGAAGCATTATCTCATGTTTTCTTTTGAAGAAGGAGAAAATCACTGCAAGCCCTTCGAGAACTGCCTCACCTGTAAGCCAGTCCACTGACACTGACAACGGCGTTGCTTCTGGCTTGCAATCGTCTTTACTCCCAGAGAGGAGGTCACCCTCCATGAAGGGTTGATACCTACGAAAAATAGACGTTCGCAGGGAAGAAGCAGAGAATGGGTGTTGATAATGTCTGTTACAGGGTCTTTCTGCCACCATCAGCAATGCCCTGTGGGACCCTGAAAATGCCCGGTACCAGCTCAGGGATAACATGAAGATGCCACCTTTAGAACTTCACTTACACTAACTTATTTAACCCAGACATCAACCAGTGGAGTAGGCTGCATGGTGCTTCCCCATTTTATAGTGCGGAACACACCAGAAAGGGGGTTTGCAAAAAGTCACTTGCAGGGCTAGTTACAGAGCTTATCATTCTGCACTCAAACCCACATGCATAATCACCATGCTAATCTGCTTCTCTTACAAAATAGGACTGGGTTTCACCTTTAAGGAGCCTGGAGTCTACGGGTTAGACTGGTGGCCTACGGGTTAAGCCTCAGCACTATCACCGCTGCGAAATGAGTTTGCGCCCTGGTCAGGGAGCTACCCACATGGCACAGCAGACCTCTCCTGTCTCACCCACTGCTCCCCTCAGGAGTATATTTCAGTAAATCTGCCTCTTCTGCTCCCCACTCTGGTGAATCCGCTCACCCTCCCCCTGAACCCTCTGGCCTACACCCCAGTTCTTTTATGCAAAAAATATTTTTTTTTTAAAAAAGAGTCTGGAGTCTAGTAGAACAATCGGCAAACATTTTTCGTAAAGGCGCAGAGAACACACTTCATGGCCATGTGGGGGTTTCTGTTGCAAATACTCAGGACCTCCATCGTACTGTGGCAGCAGTTGTGGGTGATACACAAGTGACCAGCTGTGTACCAGTAAAACTTTATCTGTAAAAACAGGCAGCTGGCCAGGCTTGACTCATGCATAATTTGCAGATCCCTTGTTTTGTGGGAAGAGTGTTGATTAAACTTCTGTGTGTGTGCATGTCACTTACCTGGGATCTTGTTAAAATCCAAATGTTGATAACAGCAATCCTGGTTCCCAAGCTCAGAGGTGGATGTCACTGAGAATGTAGATCATCAGCTAGTCTGAGTACCAGGCCTAAAACACAGACAATTCCAATCGGGTGTGATTCGTGAACTATAAGTAAGTAGGAAGGCTTCTAGTTAAGATTGAGAGACCATGGGAAGCCTGAGGTGGAAATACCTGAATTGACTCTGGAAAGATTAATAAGAATTAGCCATTGAAAGCATGGAGAGGCTGTCTAGATGGAGGAACAATGAACATGGATACAAAGACAGAGAGCAGGGCCTCCCCGGTGGTGCAGCAGTTGAGCACTGGGCTGCGAAGCTGCCCGCAGCCTCTGCAGCACCAGTTCGATCCCCGGTCGCTGGCGAGGGTCCCACATGACACGACAGACCTCTCCTGCCATGTCCGCTGCTCCCCTCAGCAGTGCATTTCGTTGGTCTGCCTGTTCTGCTCCCCTCTCTGGCTCTGGTGAATTTTCTCACCCTCCAGCGCTTCTGACTATACCCAGTGCTTATATAAATAAATAAATAAATCTTTAAAAACAAAAAGACACAGAGCAGTCACTAAAAGACAGAAACATGTGATTCCACTTCTCTGAGAGAGATGCCTGGAGACCTTAGAGGAGTTGTTGGGGATGGAGGCGGGAGGGTGAGCTGTTACATAATGGATACAGACTTGTTTTGCAGTATGGAATAGATCTGGAGATCTGTTTTAAATGTGAATATACTTAACACTAAACTGTATACTTAAAAATGATTAATGGTAAATGTACTACAATCAAAACAATTTTTTTTTTTTTTAAAGAAAGAGTCTTGGAGAATTGCTGGTAGGAGCAGAGCGCACAGGGGAGCGAGACATGCTGAGGAACCTGGGGTGGTTCTCTCACTGCAGGATGGGGAGCCATTGAAGAAACTTCCTGTTTTATATTGGTTACAAGGTTGACAATCCCTGCTACTTGATTGTAGTAAAGTAGCGGGTCTGAGTCCTCCTCCTGTGGACTTGACTCCTGCCTCAGTCATTATTTCACCCCCCTTAATTTCTTCAAACCTACTTCTATTTTTTAAATAAATGACTTGAGGGAATTGTAGCATATAATGAACCCTGATCGAAACCCTGGCTGTGCCTCTTTATCAGCTACAAGGATGTGACAGCTAAGTGACTAATCTTCAGTGAGACTTAAATTTCTCTTAAAAAAAAGTCACATACAACCATTCTGAGAATTGGTGAGATAGGGCCTCCCTGGTGGTGCAAGGGGTTAAGCACCGCACGATGAAGCAATCCACAGCCTCTGCAGCACAAGTTCTATCCCCGGCCAGGGAGCTGCCCACATGGCACAGCAGACCTTTCCTGACTCGCCCGCTGCTCCCCTCAGCAGTGTATTTCAGTCGATCTGCCTGTTCTGTTCCCCACTCTGTCTCTGGTGAATCCTCTCACCCCACACACATACACCTCTGGCCTGTACCCCAGCTCTTGTATGCATATATAAATAAACCTTAAAAAAAAAGAGAAAAAACAGTTCCTTTAAAAAAAAATTGGTGAGACAGTCTATAATATCAAGTACATCAACAGCATGATGGTCCCCTTCCCTGCTGTTTGAGGCAGCCGGTGGAGACACCTTGTGTCAGGCACCCAGTCAGCCACTCTGTCCTGTGGCCAACCGTGGGTTCCACGGCCCACTCGGAACCTACTGTTTATCCTTTTCCCTGGAACAAGCTGTGTTTTCCCAGAATGAGGAAAGGAAGGTTAGCCAACCCTGCTGGATACAGCTGGGAATGGGAACCAGGAAGAGTGGTAATTGGGGAGAAAGGGAAACCATGATGCTTTTGTAGTCGAAGGCCCAGCTGGGCTACCTCTGCCAGAACTTGGCACCTCTGTTTCCTTTCCATTGGGAACGCCAGAAATCACAGGGCAGAGGACTTTGTGAACTAGAGAATGAAACCACTGAAGGGTCAGCTTCAGCAAGCAACCCTCCGTCACTCCTTGAAGTATAAAGCATAAGATACTACTACACACAGAACAGTCCTTCTTGGTACAGAGCAGTTGAGGCGGAGGGAGGCTACTACCCCCAGACATAATTCCACATCCTAAGACTAGTCCTGGGTAGTTTAAAGAAAGAAAGAACAAAGAAGGCATACACCTAAGAAGCAAGTGAAAAATCACCAGAACCTTTTCCTGCTGTGACCCAGTACAGCAAGGCTTAAAGCAGAGGCAGCTCTAAAGTGGCGAGGAGAACTGGGCTCCTTGGCCGATGCACTGTGCTATTCTCAGACCAGCTGAGCCTACTTGCCACCTCCCTCTCACTTCTCACCTGTCTCTGGTCCGAGAGAAAGTACCTTTGAATGCGACTTTTTGGGAAGTGAGAACAAGCATGTGATGGAACACAAGTCTGATTTCTGCTACAGGTATGTCTGTACAAGTTACAAGCACAGATTCAGAAGGAAGACTGGGGGGAAAGAGTAAAACAGGGCCTCCCGGGTGGCGCAGCGGTTGAGTGCTGGGCTGTGAAGCTGCCCACAGCCTCTGCAGCGCAGGTTTGATCCCCGGCCACTGGCGAGGGTCCTACATGGCACGTAGACCTCTCCTGCAGCGCCCGCTGCTCCCATCAGCAGTGCATTTCATCAGTCTGCCTGTTCTGTTCCCCGCTCTGTCTCTGGTGAATCCTTTCACCCTCCTGCACATCTGGTCTGTACCCCAGTTCTTGTATAAATAAATAAATCTTTTTTAAAAAAAGAAAAGAATAAAACAAAGTAAAAAGGAAATAACAAAGATCCAGATTCAGAAAACATTTCTGGAAGTCATATCATTATCTACTTATTTTAATCCAAAATAGACCCTTGTCACTGGTCAGTCTCTGTTCAGGAAATGCAAACTCATTTTAATATTAAAGCCTTATAATGACTAAGACGACGTCTGTGATTGATATATAAATAATATACACTTGCCTTATTTTTTTCCTCCCCCTCATGTTCCTGTAACTGTGAGCAATGGAGAGTTGGATATAATTACTTCCGGACATTTGAGTTAATCCAGGAGGTAAAGACCAAGTTAGATAAACACAAAAGTCTGCAATTGTGGATAAAGGCCCCAACCTGTCTACAGAAGCTAAGTTTGTGTGTCCTAGTGATCGCTAAGCCTGGGTAATAAGCCCCTGCACCTATCTCCCTTGTGGAAGAATCATACTGGCCCCATAGCAGCCAAAATAACTTAACCATGGTGTAGCAAAATGTCTGCATCTCATATCTTACCATTAGTAGGGAGGTTATACTTACTTAAATCTTTGGGATTCTGCATCATTTGCAAATACGTACTGTAAGTCCAAATTCAACCAAGTGAAGGCAAGCCAGTTCCTTTCCAGCATCAGATGGCTGTGTTGAACTCCTTGTATTATCTACAGACAAATGATTCTGTTACAGGGTAGGCAGAGGGACACCCCAGAGCCCCCAAACCTGCCTGATCTAAATAGTTTCTTCCATCATGCACATTAACACAAAACATGTAAGACTTTAATGAAAAGGAACTTTAATACAATTAGTAAACAATACAGAAAAGGGAAAGAATAGTTTCTAAATCAAGCACCCAAAGTTACCCATCCCCTCATGAGTAAAAGTTCCCCCAAGCAGGACTGGCCCAGAACAAGACCCCAAAGCCTGCCACAAGACTAAAGCACCTTCCAGTGGGGACCCACAGAAAAGGATCAGAAACAACCAGACAAGTCTGGGAGAAAAAGCAAAATCAAAATCAAGGTAAAAGCTGCTATTGTTATCCTCCCCATTGGTCTCTCACCCACATCTGTGTCACCCAGTCGATGACCAAAAGGCAAGTGCAGTTTCTTCACATGTATCTCGGCTCCATGTGCCTCCTCCAGGTCTCCTTCTGGTTCTCCATCCTTCTTCCTTCCTTCCTTAGTCTCCTCTGCAGCAGCTTCTCTCCCTGCTCAGCTACACCTTCCTTTGGGTGGGGCAGGGAACCTGGAACCTCCCCCTTTCCTGGGGACCACCCTGTTACAATTCAAGAACAGTGAGGGTGCCTTTCATGAAGGCTTCATGCGTGCCAAGGAGACTCATGTGGGCATGGTTGAAAATAAGGGCAACGTGGGGACAGAAAGCATTATGGAGATGGTTTAGGCAGGTTAGATGAGATGGCTCAGACATGTGGGAGCTTGCATTCTGTTCTTTCCTGCTGTTGATCATTGGCGCATGCTCCAAGTGCATCCTTCCTGCTGCCAGCTGTACACAGGTGAGCACCCTCTACCCATCAGGGCCAATTCAGATTCCACTCTCTCCATGAAGCTTTTTCTGGTTGTGCCAGCCAATGCTTCCTCTCCTTCCTCTGAAGAATCATATTGCCCACTAGCTGCCAAAAATCTTAACCACCTCCTAGCAAAATATCTCCATTTCATATCTTGCCATTAGGGAGGTTATACGTGAGTTATTTCCACTGCTTCCAAAATCAATGTGCATACAGATGGGGTCTTCAGTAGAGATTGTAATTCTTCAAGGACAAGGAGTAGATCTTGCATCTTTTCTCTTCCCATTACATCCCTATGCCTCCTCGCCCTTCCTGTATGATGCCCAGTCCATAGTAGGTACCAAATAAATACTGAAGCTCGTTTCATTAAAGATTGTTTATTAACATTTATGAGGTAAAATTTGTGAATAAATCCAATGAACGAAGAATTTCCTGAGGACAGAGCATGAAGACAGGGACGGGGGGGAGCAAAACTTCATTTGTTGGACATTATATCTTTATTCAGCAGTCAATAGCCAATGAAAGAATTTTATTCTTATGTATCCTATGCCAAAACCTAAACCATTTTAACAGTACCTTTCACACTCTTATGGGAGCCATAAGCTCTAAAACTGAAAGTTTCTTAAAGAAATTGGTTGTGATTTGAAAATGTTTTTTAAAGTGATTCAGTCACAATAGTGCCCAACATACCCTGTTGACTCTCCAGCCCCCATCTTTCCTATTTTGCAACCATCCCAGGCCAGGTAGGTTCATTGTCAGTTCTCGCAGATGAAAAGATGATTTTGGAGCCTTTGGTAGATTTTTACAGGCCTTTAATGCTGAATCAGGGAACAGACCAGCTTTCTCTCAGTATTTCTGACTGTCTCAGCTCCCTGTTCTCCCTCTATAGCCTTACCACCACCACTGCCCATCTATCCCCTTGCAACAGGTGTCCCTATTTACATATGTGCATGCCCAGTGCACTCTGGGCCCAGGTGTCCATAATTACAGGTGTGCTTGCTAGACCAAAGGTGCCCAATCACAGATGCTAATGGCAGTGAAGGTGTAAAAAAGTCTAAGTTTTTTAAAGATTTATTTATTTATGCATACAAGAACTGGGGTGCAAGCCAGAGGTGCAGGTGCTGGGAGTGAGAGAATTCACCAGAGACAGAGTGGGGAGCAGAACAGGTGGATCTACTGCACTACATTGCTGAGGGGAGCAGCTGGTGAGGCAGAAGAGGTCTGCTGCGCCATGTGGGTCAGCTCCCTGGCCAGCCAGGGATTGAACTTGAGCTGCAGTGGCTTGTGCTGCAGTGGTTTGTGCTGCAGTGGTTAGCAACAGCTTGATAGCATTGTCACTAACCCCTGTGCCACCAGGGAGGCCCCCCCACAAAAAAAGCCTAATTTTTGACTCATTTACCTTACACTCCCCTTCTCTATCTCACTGTGGTTGGTAAACTAAAATAAAAGCCTTCCTGCCCTAGATGCAAATTTATAGGGGATGTGTTTACTATGAAGAAAAAGATAACTTTCTCTTCCTCTGTAGGACTGCTTTAAAATTATCTGGGAAATTCTTTGGTCCCAAATTTTTAAAAAAGATTTATTTATGCATACAAGAACTGGGGTACAGGCCAGAGGTGTGGGGGGGTGAGAGGATTCACCAGAGACAGAGTGGGGAACAGAACATGCAGACTGACTGAAATACACTGCTGAGGGGAGCAGCAGGTGAGACAGGAGAGGTCTGCTGCACCATGTGGGTAGCTCCCTGGTGGGGATCAAACTGGTGCTACAGAGGCTGTGGATAGCTTCATAGTGCTGTGCTTAACCTCTTGTGCCACCAGGGATCCCAGATTTTAAATTCTCTATTTTTTTCTTCTTTCTCTAACAGCTTATGTCTAAGCTGTTAGAAACTTTCTTCAAAGAAGAAACTTTCTTCAAAGCCAAAACAATAATCTTTTTTTCCCCAAAATAATAATCTTCAAGGAAAAAAAAAAAAAGATCGCATCAGTTCTCCTCTCTCTTACAAGGGTGTTTGCTGTTTTCTCCATCACAACTGCTGTTGCAACTATTTGCCCACACACAGCAGATCAAAAGTAGGCAGCTGCCTGAGTGTGAAAATGGGGCCTTCTAGACTGTTCACAAGCATCTAATCAAATCCAAGAATGAAAACACCTGGAATACCTGCAGGTCCTTGGGGGGGGCTGTGGGGGTAAAAGCACCTGCTCTTTGAGGGACCCCATCTAGGCCCTAATTTAAGAGGGCAGGTAAATCAGGAGAGGAGGCAGTTCAATCTGAGAATTAAAACAATGATGCATTTCATAAAGAGAAGGAAAAGCTAGAGCATTTAGTACTGGGTCATACACTGTCTTGGAGGAGGCCTGCTGAGGAAGGCTCCCATCTGCTGTGGAGGAAAGGTCATTCCCTGTGCCAGTGCACATTTGCAGAACACTTGATGTGTAATAGACTCTGGAGCCAAATTTAGTTCTGTATCCACCCTGGGGCAGATTGGTCAGTATCCAGTGTAAACCTCCCTGGGATTAACCACTTATTCCAGTGTAGAGCACTGGATAATTAATACCAGATCTGTTGCAAATAGCTTTGTACATACTGTATATGGGTGAGGACCCAAAGGCTTACTTTCTGCTGATCTGTTTGGCTGAGATAAAGAAACTGTGGCCTCAGCCTTTGAAACAATCCCCATGTACCTTGCACAAAGGTGGGCTTGGTGGCATGTGGTACCCACAAGGTGACAGAAGTGAGGCGATGAGTGTATGTGCCTGGACCCCGCAGCAGTGTCTGTAGCCTCGGTGCTGGGCAAGCAGGGTAGTGTGTCTGAGCAGCCTGGAGAGGACCGAGGCCAGGACTCATGTTAAAGCAAGCTGAGTGTCGAGGTTTCAGACATGGGAGGATGTCCACGGTTGGGGTGGAATGACCAGTGGTCTCTCTAAGACCAGGATTCTGTGTTTTTCCCAAGTAATGGAAATGGTCTTCACTTAGTCTTTCATAGTAAGCAGCATTGAATCAATAGTTTGCCTCACCCAAAACCTTCTCTATGTTTACTTCTGAAACCTTTAATTAAAAAGGAAGCCTGGGGCCTCCCCTGGTGGCGCAGCAGTTGAGCGCTGGGCTGCGAGGCTGCGCGCAGCCTCTGCAGCGATGGTTCATTCCCCGGCCACAGGCAAGGGTCCCACAAATAAAATTTTTAAAAAGGAAGCCTGGTAAATAACAGGGCGGGAAAGCTTTTTTTTAAAAAAAAATCTTCATATCTCTGTCCTTTCTTTTTCTCAGGCAGCCCCAAAATAGCTTTTTCCTTATTTCTAAAATTTTCTCCCATATCAGCTTCCCAGTCTTTGGTTTAACTTGGCTGGCCCTCTAGTCTAGTTTTTTTTTTTTTTTTTAAGATTTATTTATACATGCATACAAGAACCAGGGTACAGGCCAGATGCGCGGGAGGGTGAGAGGATTCACCAGAAACAGAGCGGGGAGCAGAACAGGCAGACTGACTGAAATACACTGCTGAGGGGAGCAGCGGGCAAGACAGGAGAGGTCTGCTGCGCCATGTGGGAATCTCTCTAGCTGGCCGGGAATCGAACCCATGCTACAGAGGCTGCAGACAGCTTCACAGAGCTATCCTTAACCGCCTGCGCCACCAGGGGCGGCCCTAGTCTAGTTTTTGATAAATTAATATGGACATCAACTTAAGGCTCCATGTAAACCTTAAATATGTGATATTCCTAGCATTTGATCACATAATATTCTATGAGGAAGATTGCTCTAGTATTCCCTTCCATGAAATCAGAGTAACCACCATACCATACAATTAAATGTTCTGATAAACCCAAAGTACTCCAAAGTACTCACATTTTTATGGACACATAAAAGTTTATGGACACACATAATTTTTTTGTGTTCCCCCCAAATTCATATATGACAGCCATAATCCCCATTGTGATGCCAATAGGTAAACCCTTGAGAGGTAACTGGATTTAGATGAGGTCATACAGGTGGGGCCCTGTAGTGCCAGCAAGCACAGAGCAGGGCCACTGTTGATCCCCAAGCCCTCAGTGGATTTTTCAGGCTTTAATGCTCAGAGAACCAAGTACAGAGGTGCAAGGCACAGCAGGCAGGGAGTTGGCCTGCAAGGAGGCAGATATGGGCCAGGCAGGGGGGCTGGGAAGCAAGCAACAGAGCCTCCCAGCCCCCCCACGAACCATTATGCTCTACTCTGGGCGCTCTCTGGTATTCTTATTCTTGTCTTGTGACTGATCTCACCTCTTCTGTAGTCGCTGCTTGTCCTCGTAGCTATCATCTGTCTCTGAGTGACGCCACCCATCTAGCCCTGGCCTCCAGGCTCAGGTGCCTACACCATACTCCAGGTGTCCACAGTCAGGCACAAGTGCCTCATGTCCACACTCCCAAGCCCCTTCTGCATTAACACCATCAAGGCCTCAGGTCATCGCCAAAGAGGCTAGCGGTGCAAAAAGCCTGATTAAATTCATTTACCCTACAGGTCCTCACTATGAGATTAGTGCCCTTAGAAGGGGAAGAGACACCTGAACTTCCTGTCTCCTCGTGAGCATGAAGAGGTCATGTGAGCATACAGCAAAGAAAGTGACCCTGTATGCCAGGAGAAGAGGCCTCAGATTGGCCTTGTCACTGAACTTCTTGGCCAAGAGAACTGTGATAAACAAATTTCTGAATAAACTGTAAATAAAATTCAGCCTTCGGTGCTGTGTATAGCAGCTGATTAAGATACAAGACTAGAAAGTTTAGCCATGTAATGTCTTCCCCTGATTTAAATCCAGATTCTGAGACTCAAGCAGTTTTAGTGATGGAATACCAAGAATTCTGACACCATCTACCCCGAGGACATAGTATCACACTTCATGGGCTCCATCTCCCAAGACCGACCCCCACTTTAGCTGCCCATCGCAAGCCAGGGGTAGGCTTCTGACCAATCAGCTGTATGACTCCTCAGGTTGGATTAATTTCCTAGTGGCTCACAGTAAAGGAAATCTCTTTACTGAGCAGATTGCTGATTCATGACAAAGGCTTTAACTCCAGAACAGCCAGATGGAAGGGAGGCAGAAGGCAGGGTTTGGGGGGGCGCGGAGCACAGGGCCTTCCCAGGCCACACCACTTTCCCAGCGCCTCCAGGTGTTCACCATCCTGGAAGCCTCTGGAGTGCAGCCTTTGGGGGCTTTATGGCCCTTCATTACTTAAGCACAACGGATGAAATCATTGGCCTTTGGCAACTGAGCTCAGTCTCAGGCCTCTTCGGTCCCCAGCTCTGGGGGTGGGACAGGAACTTCTAACCCTCTACTCACAAGGTTGGTTCACCTGGCAACCAGCCTCCTCCCTCAGCTTTCCAAAAGTCACCTCATTAACATAAGAAACACCTTTATCGTTTGTTCAATAAATGGTGCTGGGAAAACTGGGTCGCTACATGCAAAAGAATGAAGCTTG